AGAGTTCTGCTGGCTAAAGTTAACCAATCAATGCTTATGTACGCAGCTCCGATATGGGGAACAGCGCTTCGTCAAAAAACCTGTCAATATGGCAAAGGCYGTGTTAAGGTTATGCGCCCTTCCAGTTGACTGTACGTTTAGAACCGTGTCGCATGAGGCGAGTGCTATCATATCTGGTCTTATGMMACCGGATATAGTGGCCTATGAGTTAAGTAGAGTTTACTGTAAAACAAAAGCCATGAATAAGCGCCAACCGGCTGACGAGCGGAAATAGGAGAGGAAGACAAATCTCGATGAGTGGTAAAAGCAATGGGATGCGGCAGATACAGGAAGATCGACWTATAGACTAATTAAGAATGGAGCGGCCTGGATTGACAGACAACACGGGGAGACAGGTTTCTACTTAACGCAGTTCTTATCGGGCCATGGCTGTTTCAGGGAATACCTGTACAAATTTCTCCACGATGACGAAACACAATGTTCCTTCTGCGGAAATGCCGCAGAAAACGCAGAGTACTTCTTTTCTCCTGTTCGAGGTATGCAGTGAAAGGATGACGCCCGACAACATAGTGAGCCACATGCTGCGATCACAGCTGGTGTGGGCTTAAATGAAAGAATGGGCTGTAATGGCGCTCCAAGAACTCAGAGTTAAAGAAAGGCAGCGCAGAATAATAGGACCAAATGAATAACCCTACAGGTAGTTCATAAAGAGGCAGTTATCGCCCAGCTTGGTCCTGCGAAGTAATGCTCAACGGCGGCCCCGCAGACCCGAATACAAGCTACAGCGGAGTTAAGGATTTAGTACTGTTTCGCAAGTACAGCAGAGTTATTTATWACTGTCTGGGCGTGGTCCCGAAAGAGGTATATTCTAGCGGACAATATAAATCCTGCCTGCTACCAGTCTCGTGGCAGTATCTTTAGAAGATTCTTCCTTCGGAAACAAAACAAAAAAAAAAAGAACTCTTCATCACACATTACACACATCGTAACACCACCTCGTCATCACGTTTCACGCCATCATATAAACCACCCCGTCATCAAGTCAAAATAGGAGAGTTCTGCTATTTTCATACACAGCACACATTCCACATCACACGGTCACCAATACTAATACAACACATATGAGGACACACACAAAATTAACAAAAGGTACTGACGTATGGCGCTAATTTGTTCTAAGTCAATATTTAATTTCTTACGTTTTCTGTAGAATTCGTCGCCGAATTAGAAGTAGAGCGTCGGGAGCTTTTTAAAAATTTTTTTCAAAGTTCTTAGTTAATGAAATACGTAATACGGTATCTCGTTGTTGAATATGTATTTATGCAATATCCGTATTGTCCCTTCCAAAATATTAGCGGATATTGGAGATTGACATATAAACGGTGTATATCAGCAACGAACGTAAGATTATTATTTCATCTGCGAATCACAATTTCTCGTGTACCTATACGAAAACCAACGATTATTCCAGCAGCGTCGTCTTGCTCTCCAGTGGGTGTTTTATCAAGATTAATGACATTGGCGTGATTATCGCTTTGTTATTTGTGCATGTGTGATTCGAATATTTTCTACATTTCATTGCGCTCATTCAATGGAGCGTCCAGCACGTCGACGATGCAGCTGGCTAAAAATGAATCAAGGTTATTGTAGAATTTTAATTTCTTAAGAGTAAATCTTTTGACTCACTTGTWCTTTATGTAAAAATTAACTGGGAAATCAACAGCAGATCCTGAAAAAACGGACGGTGGCGAATTCAGCAAGATTCACAACAGAACAGCGGACAGCGATTATTCCTGATAGTGGAGCAAGGCAAAAAAGTAGAGCACCAGTATTTTGTTGCTGGATTTGTTCTGCGGTTCTTTCGGCACCTCTATTTCGCATGCTTCCGGACCTACTCAAAGGGATCAAATTAGCCCCTTTACGTTTTGTTGGCGTTGTTCACTGTACAAAGCACACATAAAAAGAATTAACGTTGTAGTAATAATGTATTTAATCTTTGATTGTACACACGTACTTACGAAAGGGAAATTACCGCCTCGCCCACAAATCGCCATTAAGCAATAAACCAATAAAATTCCATCAGAGAACGTAGTATATCATAGAGAAGGTCCACGGCGCGGAGAATAAAAACATTTTGGCGTGTTTCACCACAGCAACCTCAGAAGGAGATATTTTTAACAGAGGCGCGTGAAGAGAGCTGAGTATTCAAAGAAAATTATGTTCAGAAACACTTATACATTGCTATTACAGACGTATGTTGGCATTTTGTATATAATTTTATACGTTTACATGCAATCATATTAATTGATATGATTATCATTTTGCGAATTTTTATGAATACATGCAAAACTTGTCACATTCTAATTAAATTATGCTATTTTCAAAAGAATATTTGTAGTTAATGTGTTACTAAATATTTTTTTATTTTTGACAATGTATTATAAATTCAAAAATTAGTATGTTTGTATGTAGATATATGCTATATATGTATATGATATACTATCATAATATCCTAAAAAACAATATTACAATAACATTATTACATTTCATTTTAATTTTCATAAGCATCTACATATTAGAAAGTACTATTCAAAATCAAATCGTGATATTATCGCTTATCAGCAGAGAACGTAAAAGAATAGCAGAGAACGTTTATCATAGAGAAGGTTCACGGCGCGGAGAACGTAAAAATATTTTTGGCTAACAAAATCCGATGAGGGAGTTTCACCACTACGAGCTCGGCAGGAGAAATCTTAGCAGTTGCGCTTGAGCAGAGTTGAGCATTCAATGAAAATTATATATTATATGTATCTATTGCTGTTACAGACGTATGATAGCTCTTTTGCTTATATTTTTATACATACCTTTATATGCAAACATGCATCATATGAATTCGATTTGTGCATCTTCATGAATACAGGTGCAATCGAATACATTTTAATTTATTTACTTTTTTAAAGCAATATTTGTAGATAATGTGAAAATAAGGTCTACTTTTGCAATTATATCTTGTATTTGATATATTCATGCTTGTGTGTATACTTAATTATATATATATGTATGTAGGTATACATATAACAGACTATCATAATATATTACAAAATTTAATATATTGCAATAGGGATAAATAAATGTACATAAATCGTATATTTTATCATTCAAAACGTATATTCACATGTATATA